GACAAGTGGGCAGAGGGAACACTTATACACAGACTAATGAGGGAATGAGTACCAGGTGTGTGTGATTGACAAGACAAGACAAATGGAGTGATGATAAATGGAGCGGTAGTGACTAGTAAGCCGGTGACGACGAACGCCGAAACCTGCCCGAGCAAGGAGTAGGGGCAGCCTCGGCTGAATTCGTGACAGCTCTGCTATTCTTGGGTAGCGGAATGACCTTTGCCTCCATCCAGGCCTGAGGGCACGCACTGTCTTCTAGGCTTAAATAGAAAAGAAGATGTGGCAAACAGGAGTTTCAATGTATTCCGCTACCAACCTCAGCAATTTACCATCCAAGTTGTCGGTACCAGGTGGCTTGTCCTTATTTATAGATAGCAACAACAAAAAATCACCTCTTCCACACCCACTTTGCGGAACTCAAAACTACAGTGCTTGTCTTTCATTATTTGGTCCGTTATGCATGAATATGCTAATCTTGTCAACAAAAAAGGTATTAAACTGACTGGCAATATCAAAGGGTTTTGTTATGAACAAGCCGTTTGCCTCAATTAATGATGAAGCCGAGTTCACTTTTTTGCCTAGAATTTCATTTAAAGTACACCAGAGCTTTTTACTATCATTCTTTATATAATTTATCTTTGTTCCATAGTATAGTTTCTTCTTCAGTTTAGATTTCTCAATTTACTGTATGTTTGCCAGTTTACTGTGTTGTCACACTTATTTGCTATTCTTTTTGCCTCATCCCTCTCAGCCATACATTTTTTCAATTCATCATATATCCATGGTGATTTGGCAGTTCTAACAGTTTGTTTCTGGATGGGCACATGCCTATCATTAACTGGAAGAAGCCGTTTCTTAAGTGCAGAGTCAGGTTGTTCCTCATTACACACATCAGAAGAACAAATATTGTTCACATCTTCGACCTAGGAGTCATTGCAAAACCTGTTGTATGATTGCTTATACACAATTTTAGGTCCAGTCTTTGGAACTTTGGCTATTATATTCACTACATCTGATGGGTGTGGATACTACTTTAAGCATATTCATGCAGTGTTAATAAAGATGTGATCAATACACGTGGATGATTTAGTTCCTGTTCTGTTTGTAAATACCCTGGTAGGTTGCATGATAACCTGCACCAGATTGCAGGCATTGGTTACAGCTTGAAGCTTATTTTTGAGTGGACAGCTTGATGACAACCAGTCAATATTTAAGTCACCCAGAAAATATCACATACATGTTGATATCACATACATTATTGAGCATTTTACACATATAGTCCAAATACTGACTTTTAGCAATCAGTGGTCTATAGCAACTTCCTACAATAATAGGCTTTAGTTGAGGCAGATCAACCTGTAGTCATATTACTTCTACATCATCTGACATTAGATCCTCTCTCAGCCTAACAGGAATATGACTCTGGGCATACATAGCAACTCCTCCTCCATTTGCATTTCTATCTTTCCTATATATTTTATAACCATGTATAGCTACTACTGCATCATCAAATGAATTATTTAAGTGTGTTTCAGAGATGGCCAGAATATGAATGTTTTCTGATGTTAGTAAGTTGTCAATTTCATGAACCTTGTTTCTCAGGCTACATACATTAATAATATGGGCTATTTTGAGTCATTTTCTGGGTTGCTTGTTTGTTTTTAGTGTTATTCTGAGAGGCTGATCTGAGGTAGACATGTCAGTGACATTTACATTTGAGCCTATGGTACTGAGGGGGCTGCCCAAGGCAGACAGTTTCAGTGCAAACAGTGGAATTCAATTCTATGGGCATATGATTATTGCTGACAATACCTTCTGAGCTAACAGTTAAACGAACATAAATTAGGTTACTTACATGTACTTTATTTATTTCTCTGGGGTATAATACAATTTCCATATCCTCTGTTGCTTATTATGACAGGGAGGACTGGAGCGCTACCAAACTCAGACCGTCAGTCTCTTAAAGGGATACTTCATGATTTTGGTAATGAGGCCCCTTATCTACTCCCCAGAGTCAGATGAACTCGTGGATACCATTGTTATGTCTCTGTGTCCAGTATGAAGGAAGAGGTAGTTTTGCAAGCCAATGTTAACTAGCATTAGCGCAATGACTGGAAGGCTATCGGTATCTGCTGCTAGTATGCTAGCAGATACCATAGACTTCCAGTCATTGCGCTAACGCTAGTTAGCAACTTCGTTCAAACTGCACGCAGAGACACTAAAATGGTGTACACAAGTTAATCTGACTCTGAGTAAGTACATAAAGGGCCTCATTGCCAAAATCCCAAAGTATCCCTTTAAGCAGTTTGCTATGTTGATGGAGATAATCCTGGAATGCCTGTGGTTAGGGTGGATCCCATCTCTTTTAAAGATGATGAAATGCTGTCTCAGGCGCCGCTCCAGAATCTCCCATAAGTGTTCAATTGGGTTGAGATCTGGTGACTGAGACATGCACGCGCGCACACAGACACACACACACAGACACACACACACACACACACACACACACACACACACACACACACACACACACACACACACACACACACACACACACACACACACATACACACACACACACACACACACACACACACACAAACACACAGGTGTGGTTCCTATGTTAATTAGGCAATTAACATCCCATCATGCTTAGGGTCATGTATAAAAATGACCAGTTGCCCAATATTTTGGCTACCACGGCTAGAAGAAGAGATCTCAGTGACTTTGAAAAAGGGATCTCAAAGGAGCATAGGGGGTTTAAAATGTGTTTGTGTGTGTGTCTCAGTAACCAGATCTCAACCCAATTGAACACTTATGGGAGGTTCCTTAGACAGCATTTCATCATCAACAAAACAACAAATTATGGAATTTCTCATGAACTTAGGGTGTTGCATCCCTCCAATATAGTTACAGACACTTGTAGAATCTATGCCAAGGTGCCGTGAAGCTGTTCTGTGGTGGCCCAACGCCCTATTAAGACACTTATTGTTGGTGTTTCCTTTATTTTGGCAGTTACCTTTATGTTTCAACTAGTCAGAGCTAGTAGAATAGTAATGGTAGAGGCAAGTGATAGTGTGGGCTGTTGGATTAATGGGTCCATAGTGATGTCGAGAGAGAGAGAGAGAGAGAGAGAGAGAGAGAGAGAGAGAGAGAGAGAGAGAGAGAGAGAGAGAGAGTGTCTAGGGCTGAGGGATAATCCTGGCTAGATAAGAGTACCTCCCAGAGTTTCCCTCCCAGTCCTTCCTCTTCTCCTAGTCTCAGAGTTTCTCAGCATACATGCGTAAAGCTTAACAAAGCGTCTTAACTCTATGGTGATTACCAGGATTTCTTTATTTATATATCATGAAAGATGAATAGCGTTGACTGAGCTGCGTATTGAGGATAATTTAGATGTCAGACAGGTTTGATTTCATTAATATATTTAGAGGATGTGTGTCATTGAAATATCCCTCTGTTGTATTTTTGGTTTCCATGCTTATGTAGGTCACCTCAGGACAGTAATAGGAGCTTTGGCAGTGTTTTCCCCCCAAGGTGTATGTCCACACTGAATGCATAAACAGCTGATCTCCTTAACACATTCATTCATTCTGATATACAGCTCTGTAGTGATGGTTTTGACATGCACTGAAATTCTATTATACAGTAACACGCTGTCCAGAATGTTAGTCACACACTGTGTAAGAGTGCTGCCAAACTAATCAACAAACTCAAAGGTTAACCCACCAATGTTCTTCCCCTGCATACCAAAACGTATTCTCTCCACATTAAAATAGGAAGATCTAGCGCTTAATGCGCTGTGCTTTTCTTTCAAACCACTAGTCTGTGGTCATTTTAGTCTTGTTAGTAAAATGGCTCCATCAAGGTCACTGCAGGGTCAATTGATGTCACAGCAGTCATCTGTGGTGACGGTGAAACGTTCTAACAGGTCAAGACAGGAAGGACGACCCTGGACATGCGGTCATACCTCCATGAATCCTACAGCATATTCCACCCGGTTAATGCACAACAGCACCTCATGAATATCCATTATTTACAGTTGACTGGCACTTGACTGGCTGTTTGTATGGCTCATAGTGTAGTGTTTGTGCTGTATAAAAATGTATGTGCCTCTTTCTAAAAGCAGTAAAGCACACACCTACTGAATTATCGATGAGGTGTGATGCTTGTTGCATAACAGTTATGCATTTCTCAAAGGAATTGATGAGTTTGGACGGTGAGATAAATAGAGCGAAAGGGCCAAAGAGAGTGAGATAAATCGACACAAAGGGAAAATGAAATAGAGGGAGAATGCGAGACAGACAGACAGTTAACGAGAGACAGAGGCAGGGAGATGGAATGTCTGAAAGAGGAAAAACTAGACTTGGACAGATCGAAAGAGAGAGACCGAGAGATAGAGAAACACAGATAAGTTTGACCAGTCAGTTGCCTCATTACTGTGGTGTTTGACCCGAGTGCTGGTTGTCTGGCACATAAACATTGACCGCTGTCCTGCTCCTGAGCTCTGGCTATCATCCCTATTGATCTGACCGTTCACAGTCATCCCCTGTCTGACCCTGAACTCATTCCTCTCATCCATCACCCTTGCCTGCATACATGAGTAGGGAGGTTCCTACCCACAGCTTTATGGTGTACGTTCTGGGATTCTAAGAAATGTAAGGAGAGTTTTTACGTTGTCAATTTTCCAAAGGAATTGAGAGATATCAGACATGAGTGATGATCCCCAATCCATATTCAGCTGAAAATTAATTGAAAACCTGACCTTGAGAAGAGTGTTTATTGCGTGTATCTCTTAATGTGTATATTGATTAATCATACTGATACTAAGTTGTCACACAAACTGTACCTAGTCCTAGAATTCATATGTGAATACACAGCTTTAGACCAGTTCATAGTGTGAATTTACAAGTCAATTCTTAGATTTTGTTAATGGTTTTGACCATGAACCCTCCCACCCCACCATCTCTTCTTTGCCGCAGGAGGTGAGTGACACAGAAATCATGGAGCTGGTCCACAGTTCGTTAGGCCGGATGACCGTCATACGGCAGATCTTCCCTCTGTGGAGAGACACCAACATCCGCTGCATGAGGAACAACCACCGCATCTCCTCTCTGCTCTGCGACCCCCAGGAGGGCTACCTGCAGTCCCTGGAGGTCAGTGTGAAGGATATTACTTTATTACTCTATTTGAACATCAGCCCTGTCACCACTCTGTCATCACCGTAACACTATATCCACACCATCAGAGTACTTTGTCATTCACCCAACATCACCCCATATATTGACAAGACATGACCATAGCCATGACAAAAACAATACTGAAGGTCGGCGAGAGCGATTTGCCCGTCAGCGCTGTCACAACATTTAACGTCATCATCATTCTAACACAGTGTAATTTCCTTCACACATCCCTCCAATGTTAAACACCTCAGTCTGTTACCATTACTATATTTACACAGGATTGCACAGGAACACAAATTTCTAACGTAAGAAAATTGTTTAGAAATGTTTTCTGAAGTCATCTAGTGTGCAATGACCGTGACTTACTATTCAAACTCCATAGCTAGCATAGAACATTGTTTAGGACAGATGGTAAAATCATGTGGTGTTTCTTTAGAGTTCATCTGTCAATTATTCATGTGAAAAAAGGTGAATTACTGGCTAATGCCAAAGTATTTGTATGAGAAAAAAAAAGCACAGGCGAGTACTTTTCTGATATAGACTTGACCTGGGCTGGGTAAAGCACTGGCCACTTATCTATCCCCTACTTTCAAATCATTATCATGATACGTTAGTACACCAGACTTACTTTCTTAGGATTCATCAAGTAATGCATAAAGCCTTAAGTACACCAGCCAGACCATCATAAAGCTTCAGTGATAACAAATGCTTTAGGCATTGCAAGTGTGACCCCCCTCAGCCCTGAGCTGTGCCCTGGACACCATATGTGAACTGATTGCCCCCATCTATCCTCAGAGTTCGTACTGCTTGGTGACCTAAACTGGGATATGCTTAACACCCCGGCCAACCTACAATCTAAACTAGATGCCCTCAATCTCACACAAATTATCAACGAACCTACGAGGTACAACCCAAAATCTGTAAAAATGGGCACCCTCATAGATATCATCCTGACAAATTTACCCTCTAAATACACCTCCACTGTCTTCAACCAGGATCTCAGTGATCACTGCCTTATTGCCTGCGTCCGTAATGGGTCCGCGGTCAAACGACCACCCCTCATCACTGTCAAATGCTCCCCAAAACACTTTAGCGAGCAGGCCTTTCTAATTGACCTGGCCCGGTTATCCTGGATGGATATTGACCTATTCCGTCAGTAGAGGATGCCTGGTTGTTCTTTAAATGTGCTTTCCTCTCAATCTTAAATAAGCATGCCCCATTCAAAAAATGCAGAACTAAGAACAGATATAGCCCCTGCTTCTCCTCAGACTTGACTGCCCTTGACCAGCACAAAAACATCCTGTGGCGTACTGCATTAGCATCGAACAGCCCCCGCGATATGCAAATTTTCAGGGAAGTCAGGAACCAATATATACAATCAGTTAGGAAAGCAAAGGCTAGCTTTTTCAAACAGAAATTTGCATCCTGTACACTGTAAAGTCCATGGAGAATAAGAGCACCTCCTCCCAACTGCCCATTGCACTGAGGCTAGGAAACACTGTCACCACCGATAAATCTACAATAATTGAGAATTTCATCAAGCATTTTGCTACGGCTGGCCATGCTTTCCACCTGGCTACCACTACCCCGGCCACCAGCTCTGCACCCTCCGTTGCAACTTGCCCATGCCCCCCCGCTTCTCCTTTACACAAATTCAGACAGCTGATGTTCTGAAAAAGCTGAAAAATCTGGACCCCTACAAATCAGCTGGGCTAGACAATCTGGATCCTTTCTTTCTAAAATTAGCCACCGAAATTGTCGCAACCCCTATTACTAGCCTGTTCAACCTCTCTTTCGTAACGTCTGAGATCCCCAGAGATTGGAAAGCTGCCGCGGTCATCCCCCTCTTCAAAGGGGGTGACACTCTAGATCCAAACTGTTACAGACCTATATCCATCCTGCCCTGCCTTTAAAAATTTTTGAAAGCCAAGTTAACAAACAGATCACCGACCATTTCGAATCCCACCGTACCTTCTCCGCTATGCTATCCGGTTTCCTTGGTCATGGGTGCACCTCAGCCACGATCAAGGTCCTAAACGATATTATAACCAAGATCGATAAAAGACAGTACTGCACAGCCGTCTTCATTATCCTGGCCAAGGCTTTCGACTCTGTCAACCACCGCATTCTTATTGGCAGACTAAATAGCCTTGGTTTCTCAAATGACTGCCTCGCCTGGTTCACCAACTTCTTCTCAGATAGAGTTCAATGTGTAAAATTGGAGGGCCTGTTGTCTGGACCTCTGGCAGTCTCCATGGGGGTGCCACAGGATTCAATTCTCGGGCCGACTCTATTCTCTGTGTATATCAATGATGTCGCTCTTGCTGCTGGTGACGCTCGAATCCACCTCTATGCAGATGACACCATTTTGTATACATCTGGCCCTTCATTGGTCACTGTGTTAACAAACTTCCAAACGAGCTTCAACACCATACAACACTCCTTCCGTAGCCTCCAACTGCTCTTAAACACTAGTAAAACTATATGCATGCTCTTCAACCGAACGCTGCTTGCACCCGCCCACCCGACTAGAATCACTACTCTCGGTGGGTCTGACCTAGAGTATGTGGACAACTATAAATACCTAGGTGTCTGGTTAGACTGTAAACTCTCCTTCCAGACTCACATTAAGCATCTCCAATCAAAAGTTAGATCTAGAATTGGCTTCCTATTTCGCAACAAAGCCTCCTTCACTCATGCTGCCAAACATGCCCTCGTAAAACTGACTATCCTACCGATCCTTGACTTCAGCGATGTCATTTACAAAATAGCCTCCAACACTCTACTCAGCAAATTGGATGTAGTCTATCACAGTGCCATCCGTTTTGTCACCAAAGCCACATATACTACCCACCATTGTGACCTGTACGCTCTTGTTTGCTGGCCCTCACTACATATTTGTCGCCAAACCCACTGGCTCCAGGTCATCTATAAATCACTGCTAGGCAAATCCCTGTCTTATATTAGCTCACTGGTCACCATAGCAACACCCGCCCGTAGTCTGCACTCCAGCAGGTATATTTCACTGGTCATCCCCAAAGCCAACACCTTCTTTGGCCGCCATTACTTCCAGTTCTCTGCTGCCAATGACTGGAACGAACTGCAAAGATATCTGAAGCTGGAGACTATTATCTCCCTCACTAACTTTAAGCGTCAGTTGTCCGAGCAGCTTACCGATCACTGCACCTGCACACAGCCATTCTGAAATTAGGCCATCCAACCACCTCATCCCCATATTGTTATTTATTTTGCTTATTTGCTCCCCAGTATCTCTATTTGCACATCATCTTTTGCACATCTATCATTCCAGTGTTAATACGAAATTGTAACTATTTTGCACTATGGCCTATTTATTGCCTTACCTACATAATTTACTACATTCGCACACACTGTATATATATTTTCTGTTGTATTTATGACTTTATGTTTTGTTTACCCAATATGTAACTCTGTGTTGTTGTTTTTATAGCACTGCTTTGCTTGATCTTGGCCAGGTCGCAGTTGTAAATGAGAACTTGTTCTCAACTGGCTTACCTGGTTAAATAAAGGTGAAATAAAAAAGAAATAAAAAAAAAGTGGGCAAGTCCTTCTCTTCATCGTGATGTATCCTAAATAGGTATACAAATGTATAAAAATGCAATATTCTTCTTTGCATATTTGGGTATTATTCTACACACTGGCTATTATTATATAGAGTAGAGTTAAGTAGAGTTCAGTACAGTAGAGTATAGTACAGTAGAGTACAGCAGAGTACAGTACAATACAATACAATACATTATTACAAAACATGCAACAAGGCACTAAAGTAATACTGCAAAAATTTGGCAAAGCAATTCACTTTTTGTCCTGAATACAAAGTGTTATGTTTGGGGCAAATCCAATACAACGCATTACTGAGTACCGCTCTCCATATTTTCAAGCATAGTGGTGGCTGCATCATGTTATGGGTATGCTTTTAATTGTCAAGGGCTGGGGAGGTTTTCAGGATAAAAAAAGAAACAGAATGGAGCTAAGCACAGGCAAAATCCTAGAGGAAACCTGTTTCAGTCTGCTTTCCACCAGAAACTGGGAGATGAATTCACCTTTCAGCAGGACAATGACCAAAAACACAAGGCCAAATGTACACTGGAGTTGCTTACCAAGATGACATTGAATGTTCCTGAGTGGCCAAGTTACAGTCTTGACTTAAATTGGCTTGAAAATGTATTGCAAAACTTGAAAATGGCTGTCTAGCAATGATCAACAAACAACTTGACAGAGCTTGAAGAATTATAAAAATAATTATGTGCAAATATTGTACAATCCAGGTGTACAAAGTTCTTAGAGACTTACCCAAAAAGACTCACAGCTGTAATCAATGCCAAAGGTGATTCTAACATGTATTGACTCAGGGGTGTGAATACTTATGATATTTCTGTATTTCATTTTCAATACATTTGCAAACATTTCCAAAAACATGTTTTCACTTTGTTATTATGGGGTATTATGTGTAGATGGTTGAGAAAAAATTATGATTTAATCATTTTGAAATTCAGGCTGTAAAACAACTAAATGTGGAATAAGTCAAGGGGTATGAATACTTTCTGAAGGCACTGTAAGTGTTGATATTATTTGGCAGGGATCTTTACTTGAATATTATTGCGTTTTGATGTATTTCTAATTCCTTTAAGACTTTTTCTGGTAGATGTTTTCTAAGACCCATTTTCCATCTGTTTGACCAGAAATCAAAGCCTTTGCTTATTCCACATTTTTAGGATGGAAAATGATTGAAAATGTATATATGCCTTAATTTCTCAAAAATATAGACTTAATTTTCATTTGACACCCAATTTGACATGCTCCTATGAACCTCACATGTTGGTGCTTTACATGGAAATGACTAAGTGTGTTTATGTTTGAGTAGTGTTCAGCTATCCTTTTACAATTGTAAGCATTTTGTGAACTCTATTTGCTACCGTTACATTCATTTCAACTCAACAAGTGTGTTTCCTCTATACCCAACATGACCATGTGGATTGAATGTCCAACTTAATTCTCTATGAAATGAGGACAACAATACTTGTACATGTATTGATCTCATGATCTCAGGGCCCCGTGTAGCTCAGTTGGTAGAGCATGGTGCTTGCAACGCCAGGGTTGTGGGTTCGTTTCCCACGGGGGGCCAGTATGAAAATGTATGCACTCACTAACTGTAAGTCGCTCTGGATAAGAGCGTCTGCTAAATGACTAAAATGTAATGGTGAACCATGATATAATAGAGTAACAGAGGTCTAAGGAATGGTGGCCTTCAGCAAAATTCTCTCCTTGTGTCATTGCTGTACCCTGCCATTCATACATGCCCTTGTTGGTGTAGCAAAAAACGTCCCTCATATCAAAAGCATGCTTTGGACGTAGGCAATCCATTGTGCCTATTTTTATTCCAAATGAAAATGCCAGGGAATGTGTTTGGGATTCTCTTTCTCAAGTGGTCCTTCAATAAATCACAATCACAATTTCCTACAGACAAGTTAGAAAAGGTAGACCGTGGGTGCAATTGTGAGAAATGCTCTGCGGCATTTCAACTGATGTCTTTTTCTATCATTAGAAAACTTGAGGTTGTCTTTCATATCTCTTTTCTGTAACTTTAAAGTGGTCGTTGCAGTGTCAGACTGGGTGTTTTCTGCTCCCCAGGTGTCTACCACTATGGGTCTGTTTCTCCCTTTCATTATGTGGACATGCTTATTCCCTACTGACCACTTTATTTCCCCAAAACATCACAGGGGCAGAGGCAGAGAGGAACCGCTTTTATGTTGGACTTGTAAACCTTCGCAAGTTTCAACAAGTGATTTTGAGCATCTCGTTTTAGCGGCAACATTTTTGAGGAGTTTTCCCTGCCAGATCTCAAACTAGTTCAGTACCTGCATGGCACTGCTGATTCTGCTCAAAACCTTTTATAGAAGATGTTTTGTTGTTTTGTTTCTCCTCAGGTCTCCAACTTGTACCTGTATGACAGTGTGCTGATGCTGGCCAACGCCTTCTACAGTAAGCTAGAGGACAGAAAGTGGCATAGCATGGCTAGTCTGAACTGCATGAGGAAGTCCACCAAGCCCTGGAATGGAGGCTGGTCTATGCTGGACACCATCCAGAAGGTAGGACGCAGACTAACTCATACGGTGTTGAAATGGATTCCTTTCATTCTAATGTGGCATTCTTTTCACATGTATCTCAACTCTTCGAATACAGATGTACAAGGAGAATGATTCAGTCTTTTGTGTTTAGTTTCAAGTTTTATTTGTCGTATGTGCAGGATTCACATGGTATACACCATCAAATGAAATGCTTACTTGCAGGCTCCTTCTCGACAATGCAACAACAATAAGAAATAATACAATATAAGAACCTTGCATGTGTCCTATGCCACTGAGTAATTGGGGTTTGTTCTGCTGACATTGAATGCTGCAGTACGGGATCTCAGCATTGTACGGATATCTCTGTTCATCAAGGGTTTTTGGTTGGGGTATGTCCAGATTGTTATTGTGGGTTCAATCAGTATTCTCAAAACAATCCTGCAGCATTTAGTCTGCCTCCTTTGTCCAACGCCTCACTATTCTCTGTGTTGGTGGCTCCCTGTTGAGGAACAGAGAGACGTGATCTGATTGGCCGAAGTGGGGGTGGGGGATGGCTTTGTACACATCACGGATGTTTATATATACATGGTCAAGCTCGTTGTTTCCTCTTGTGGGGCAGGATACATTTTGGTGATAATTACTTGGTTAAAATCACCCACGACAATTTTATTTAAAAAAAAATATATATATATATATATATACAGTGGGGAAAAAAAGTATTTAGTCAGCCAACAATTGTGCAAGTTCTCCCACTTAAAAAGATGAGAGAGGACTGTAATTTTCATCATAGGTACACATCAACTATGACAGACAAATGGAGAAAAAAAAATCCAGAAAATCACATTGTAGGATTTTTAATGAATTTATTTGCAAATTATGGTGGAAAATAAGTATTTGGTCACCTACAAACAAGCAAGATTTCTGGCTCTCACAGACCTGTAACTTCTTCTTTAAGAGGCTCCTCTGTCCTCCACTCGTTACCTGTATTAATGGCACCTGTTTGAACTTGTTATCAGTATAAAAGACACCTGTCCACAACCTCAAACAGTCACACTCCAAACTCCACTATGGCCAAGACCAAAGAGCTGTCAAAGGACACCAGAAACAAAATTGTTGACCTGCACCAGGCTGGGAAGACTGAATCTGCAATAGGTAAGCAGCTTGGTTTTAAGAAATCAACTGTGGGAGCAATTATTAGGAAATGGAAGACATACAAGACCACTGATAATCTCCCTCGATCTGGGGCTCCACGCAAGATCTCACCCCGTGGGGTCAAAATGATCACAAGAACGGTGAGCAAAAATCCCAGAACCACACGGGGGGACCTAGTGAATGACCTGCAGAGAGCTGGGACCAAAGTAACAAAGCCTACCATCAGTAACACACTACGCCGCCAGGGACTCAAATCCTGCAGTGCCAGACGTGTCCCCCTGCTTAAGCCAGTACATGTCCAGGCCCGTCTGAAGTTTGCTAGAGTGCATTTAGATGATCCAGAAGAGGATTGGGAGAATGTCATATGGTCAGATGAAACCAAAATATAACTTTTTGGCAAAAACTCAACTCGTCGTGTTTGGAGGACAAAGAATGCTGAGTTGCATCCAAAGAACACCATACCTACTGTGAAGCATGGGGGTGGAAACATCATGCTTTGGGGCTGTTTTTCTGCAAAGGGACCAGGATGACTGATCTGTGTAAAGGAAAGAATGAATGGGGCAATGTATCGTGAGATTTTGAGTGAAAACCTCCTTCCATCAGCAAGGGCATTGAAGATGAAACGTGGCTGGGTCTTTCAGCATGACAATGATCCCAAACACACCGCCCGGGCAACGAAGGAGTGGCTTCGTAAGAAGCATTTCAAGGTCCTGGAGTGGCCTAGCCAGTCTCCAGATCTCAACCCCATAGAAAATATTTGGAGGGAGTTGAAAGTCCGTGTTGCCCAGCGACAGCCCCAAAACATCACTGCTATAGAGGAGATCTGCATGGAGGAATGGGCCAAAATACCAGCAACAGTGTGTGAAAACCTTGTGAAGACTTACAGAAAACGTTTGACCTGTGTCATTGCCAACAAAGGGTATATAACAAAGTATTGAGAAACTTTTGTTATTGACCAAATACTTATTTTCCACCATAATTTGCAAATAAATTCATTAAAAATCCTACAATGTGATTTTCTGGAGAAAAAAATTCTCATTTTGTCTGTCATAGTTGACGTGTACATATGATGAAAATTACAGGCCTCTCTCATCTTTTTAAGTGGGAGAACTTGCACAATTGGTGGCTGACTAAATATTTTTTTTCCCCACTGTATATATATATATATATATATATATCTATATATATATATATATATATATATATATATATATATATATATATATATATATATCTATATATATATATATATATATATATATATATATATATATATATATATATATATATATATATATTTAACCTTTATTTAACTAGGCAAGTCAGTTAAGAACAAATTCTTATTTACCGTGACGGCCTACACCGGCCAAACCCGGACGACGCTGGGCCAATTGTGCGCCGCCCTATGGGACTCCCAATCACGGCCGGTTGTGATACAGCCTGGAATCGAACCAGGGGGTCTGTAGTGACGCCTCAAGCACTGAGATGCAGTGCCTTAGACCGCTTCTTCCGGGTGAGAGTATTCTTGCTGGTAATTGTCTTGTATAGTGACTTACAGGAGCAATTCGGGTTAAGTGCCATGCTCAAGGGCACATCGACAGATTTTTCACCAAGTCGACTCAGGGATGCTGGCCCAACGCTCTTAACCGCTATGCTACCTACCGCCCCAGATCGGGTGAACAGGAGCTTGAGATGTTTTCAACCTCGGGACACCAGCTATTGTTGATGAGGAAACATACCCCTCCCCCCTACTCTTACCAGAAGCCGCCTTTAGATCCATACGGAAAATGGAAAAGCCATCTGGTTGAACAGCAGAGTTGAGTTTATCGTCCGTAAGCCATGTCTCTGTAAAAACAAAGCCACAGCATTCCCTGATGTTCCTCTGTGATTGAAGCCTTGCTCTGAGTTCACTAAATAAAACTTCCAGCGATTTCACATTTTAGCCATCAGGATACTAGGAAGAGGAGGCCGTATAGCACATATTTTCAGCTTAGCTTGGAGTCCCCCTTTCCTTCCACTGCTTCATTCACCAGCATTGCCTTCGGTTATCTTGGTTTATCCAAATTAACAAATTGGAACAAAAGGTACTTGATTGCATCAATTTATAGGCTCTAATTAAACACTTCATGAAATGAATCATTTATAAATTAACAAAACTCTTGTTATGAAAATATTCAAAGGAAAAAATGACCTTTTGTATTAGTAATTGTTTTCTTTTGAATTCATGATGACACTGCCTTGTTGACTAGTCATGATTTCACTCTACTGCTCACCATTCCCTGAGAAACCAGATGATTTTGAAATGTTTTTCGTAAAGTACCAGTCAAAGTTGACACACCTACTCATTCCAGGGTTGTTCTTTATTTTTACTATTTTCTACATTGTAGGATAATAGTGAAGACATCAAAACAATGAAATAACACATATGGAATAATGTAGAAACCAGAATTTGAAGAATTTGAGATTCTTCAAAGTAGCCACCCTTTACCTTGATGACAGCTTTGCACACTCTTGGCATTCTCTCAACGAGCTTCATGAGGTAGTCACCTGGAATGCATTTCAATGAACAGGTGTGCCTTGTTAAAAGTTAATTTGTGGAATTTCTTTCCTTCTTTGAGCCAATCAGTTGTGTTGTGACAAGGTAGGGGTGGTATACAGAAGACAGCCCTATTTGGTAAAATACCATAATATGGCAAGAACAGCTCAAATAAGCAAAGAGAAACGACAGTCCATCATTATTTTAAGACATGAAGGTCAGGCAATCCGGAAGATTTCAAGAACTTTGAAAGTTTCTTCAAGCGCAGTAACAAAAACCATCAAGCGCTATGTTGAAACTGGCTCTCATGAGGACCGCCACAGGAAAGGAAGACCCAGAGTTACCTCTGCTGCAGAGGATAAGTTCATTAGAGTTAACTGCACCTCAGATTGCTGCACAGAGTTCAAGTAACAGACACATCTCAGCATCAACTGTTCAGAGGAGACTGCGTGAATCAGGCCTTCATGGTCGAATTGCTGCAAATAAACTACTACTAAAGGACACCAAAAATAAGAAGAGACTTGCTTGGGCCAAGAAACGCCAGCAATGGACATTAGACCGGTGAAAATCTGTCCTTTGGTCTGATGTCCAAATTTGAGATTTTTGTTTACTACCGCTGTGTCTTTGTGAGATGCAGAGTAGGTGAATGGATGATCTCCGCATGTGTGGTTCCCACCGTGAAGCATGGAGGAGGAGGTGTGATGGATGGGGGTGCTTTGCTGGTGACACTGTCAGTGATTTATTTAGAATTCAAGGCACTCTTAACCAGCATGGCTACCACAGCATTCTGCAGCGATACGCCATCCCATCTGGTTTGCGCTTAGTGGGACAATCATTTGTTTTTTAACAGGACAATGACCCAACACACCTCCAGGCTGTGTAAGGGATATTTGACCAAGAAGGAGAGTGATGGTGTGCTGCATCAGATGACCTGGCCTCCACAATCACCCGACCTCAACCCAATTGAGATGGTTTGGGATGAGTTGGACCGCAGAGTGAAGGAAAAGGAGCCAACAAGTGCTCAGCATATTTGGGAACTCCTTCAAGACTGTTGGAAAAGCATTCCTCATGAAGCTGGTTGAGAGAATGCCAAGAGTGTGCAAAGCTGTCATCAATTCAAAGGGTTGCTACTTTGAATAATCTAAAATATAACACATATTTTGATTTGTTTAACACTTTTTTGGTTACTACATGATTCCATATGCTATTTTGATGTCTTCACTATTATTCCTCAATGTAGAAAATAGTAAAAATAAAGAAAAACCCTTGAATGAGTAGGTGTGTCCAAACTTTTGACTGGTACAGTACTTTGCACATCATCTAATGCACATCACTTTGCACCAGGCACCTGGCTCTACCTGTACAGAGCACATTCCCCTTTGCTCTTCCAGTCTCCAAATTGCCCTTTTGGGTGGTGGTATAATTTCCCCCTAAATGTTTTTTAAAATTCATTTTGTATCATGGTTGTTCGGAACCAACTGCCAGCAAGTCGTTGTCAAGTTTGACACCCCCCACCCCGTCCATTCGTTGCGCCTGTTGATCTGCCATGTACTGAGCTTGCGCGTGCCTGGTTGTGACTTTTTCCCAGTCTGCCCTGTACGTGGTATCCAAACATGCATGGCTTGAGAGATGCTGTCACCAGTCGAGTGTGTGTAGCTAGCTACCTAGTTTAAATATCAACAGTACTGCCACAGCAGCATAACATTTGATTAACACTTGATAACACTTGATTTAGCCTACATCATCATCAATATTCGGTGTGGTTGGCTGATATGCGCAGCAGAGATAGGCAGAAATACATAGAGAGTAAAGGTCTTCACGGGTCAAAAAAGTTGGACCCGTTCCGAAATGGACCTGGGGCTTTCCCACCCGGACCGGATATGCATAAATAAAAAAAATAAAAAAGGATAATATAGATACCCGTTCCAAACAGACCCGAGGACAACTAGACCCGTTCCGTGTAGACCTGGTCCGGACCCAGACAAGATGTGATCCGAGTGAGGGAAGCAGCTACTTTATTTTCGCTACTTTATTAACCCGAACTGATAAAGCAAGGAAGAAGGAGAGAGATGCCGTCGGGCCGTACTGTGAGCGAGTGACACCAGGAGCAGGGGGGAGGGAGGGAGAGACGAGAGACGGCAACTAACCAAGCCGAATCGCGCTATAGTAGACTAATAGCTGCCATAGCTAGGTTATTAATAATCAAATATGATTCCATAGTTCCTGTCTTGACTGCATCAAACCAGGAGAAGCTAGTTAAGCTAGCTAACATTAGCTAGTGTAGTGTCGAGTAATGTTGCTAGTTATTGCTGATAAACAAAGGAGTCCGCTTATACTGAACTTTGATCATGAGGTTTATTCATATCACAAGATTTCAGCATAAGTGTACGGGTGTCCAGATCACCCGGAGAGCAGTGGTTCCCAGATTGTAATGGCCGCTCTAACCTCTTCTTCGTTTAAACCCAGTATATATAAATGATCAAATAATCAAAAATGATATTTATTCATCAATGCTCCATCCAGTCCCACTTGTCCCTCTTCATCCAGATCAGGAACAGTCAACAACGGCATCTGAGTGTTGTCTCCAGGCATCACAACTCCAACCCATCTCAATATCATATCCTTCTCAAAGGTCAGTAACAAAGTACAAAAGCAAAACATCTTCGCCAGAAGATTAAACCCTCTTATCGTTTCATTTGCCAAACCCTTCAAATTATAGGTAATATTATCAATATGATCTTCCCAAATTTTACACCATACCATGGAAAAATCCCCACTTCTCTCTTAGACTTATCCTCCAATGATAGGCTTCCCAGACTATAAAATTCCTCTAAAATTGGTGCTGGAGCTATCTGCTCCCTTGTAATCAAATGCGATATATTTATGGCTTTAATAACTATCAATGTTGAAAGAGTTAAATTGCTTCTCACTGTTGTTATAATAGACTGAAGTGTTGATGTCCTTGTTGTTACTTCATCCATTCTCCCTAAGACTTTTAACTCCTTACTTGTATTTCCATCTATCACCACTAGTTCTCTCTCTCTTCCTACTAACTAACATTGAAACTTAGCTTACTGTCCTAGAGCTCCTTCAACCCTAGTTCTCATAACTTTTTTAATCTAATATTTTCTCCTAACCTTTAAAAACCTTTTCCACTGATTTATTCACAAAATCCCTTTACCACCAATTTTTAGAATATGTAATCGGGAAGTCCCCACCTGCTTCTGACTTCTTTACACACAGACTTGGCAAATGATCTAACATCTTTTAGCCTAGTTTGAAATCTCTTTCCCCTCTTGGTGTAGGAATGTAACCAAGAATAACAGTCACCCCTTTTAACTTTATTTTTCAGACAGATTGTCTAATAGGCAGTCTAATAGATTATCATAGGAAGGAGGACATTATCTTTTCAAGCAAATATGATTCCCAAAAACCCTACTCTTTTAAAATCTTCTACCAGACAGCCGTCTAGTGTACATCTTACTGTACAGTTCAATTTACACAATGCATCTCTTCCCAACAATACAATAGGTATATGTTCTAATACCAGTATGTGTATTTTAATTTCTCTTTGATTTTTTATAGCAGAGCTCAATTGGTTCCTTAAGAGTAATCAACTGTTTTACCTTCTCAAATCCCTATCCTAATTAGTTAATTTTACATAGTGAGATGTTTAACCTCTTTAGGCTCAACACAGATAAAAGCTTTTCCACTATCACCTCTCCTAGTCCTTTGTTTTCACTTCAATTGTTAGATATTTTCTTCCTAATCGGTGCTATCAGCTGACACCCCCCTTCGGATCTTCTAGGCACTCTAGAATCCTTGCTCCTTTAAGGGTTCACCTGGAGAACAGGTGATCTTCACTTGCTCCTTTATCTTCCTCAGAAATGTCCTCTGTTGTATCCTCCTGGCGCATTGCATTCACAGGTAAAGTAACCAACCTGTCCACAATTATAACACGCTTCTGAAAGTTGCTGGAAGTGTAGCTGAAACCTTCCTCCTCCTTCTAAGCCTTCTCGTCCTCTTCCTCTCCAATTATGTGTCTGTCCAGAAACTGGCTGTGGATATGGAACAACTGGTACCGCCATTGGTGGCTGATACAATTGCATTTGACCTTGTTCAGTTGAAGCTATGGCAGTGATTGTTGATTTGGTGCACACTGATTCTTCATAACCAAAGCTTTTCTTCTCCTTCTTCTTCTCCAGCTGTATTTGATTGAGTAGAGTTTCTTGGTCTTGCTCTTTCTTGTTGTTGACATATCAGTATTCTTCAAAAGGTTATATTCTATATTAAGTTCTGTCCTCGAAATATCATCTTCCATCATCTTCTTCCTAGTGACCTTTTTCCTTGGCCTCAATGTATTCTTCTCCTCCAATTCTTGGGATCCTTTTCTCAGCAGTTTTTTCTTCTCTTCTGTATCTTCAGCTTCTCGAGTTGTACTTTGCAGTTCTCTTACTTCTTCTAAATTATTCCCCTTATCCAGGCATGATACGCATCGGTCTATATCTCTTTCTATTTCTTATTTGCTAATCATTGTTGCATAAAATCCTCTTGAATATGAAGCACCTTTAATCTCCAAATCTTCATCGCTGTCTTCATCTTTGCTTTCATCAGAAATCAAATCTCTTGTATCCTTCTTCCTTCAACTTCCATCAGAGATCAAATCTCTAGTATCCTTCTTCTTTCCTCTCTTGCCAACTTCCTTCTGATCACAGAGTC